CGGCCTCCGTTTTCTATGCGGCCGGGAAAGAAAACGGGCGCTCGATCAGCTGATCAATGTAAACAAAACTTTCATGGACACGGAGAAGGCAGCGAGCGTGGAAGGCAAAGGTGGTTTCTATTTATCTAAGTTTTTGTGGACTTTGTTGCATTTGTTTCTGTATTTCTGTCTGAATTTATAGTTCCCTAGAATTATATGTACAAGCAGATGAATTTGTTGTCGTTCATCAGTTTTGTTTTAAGCGAGAAATCAAATTATCTTGACCTTGCTTTAGAGTTCGGGAGCTGCAGAAGCCGGAGATAACATTGTAGATTCACTATGATAAGCACATTGTCTATTGTAAGACATTTGGTGAATTAACGATTTAAGAACGTATTTTGATAACTAGAACATTTGATATGATATGGATGATGATTTGCAACCTGATGTGGAGCACATAGCTGTAGATAGCGGCAGCACCAACAAGGTTTAAATGTCATCATTGCAAACAGTATGTGGAATTTTGCATACAAAGAAATGTGCTGATCAGTTTACTCTAGATTTCAGACAAAACAATGTTTTTCTTTTTTTGTTAAGTGGACTGTTATGATTCATGTGTCTCTTAAGATTACCTATTTTTATATTTCCATGAATTTCTGTATTTGGAACTTTTGATAGGGTTTGTAGTTCTAAATTCTAAATTTATCATGCTTCAATATCCGAAGCATGATAAATGGCTCTGAATTGATTAAAACAAAGGGTTACTCCAACAGATATACCTGTAAGTTTAACCAAATATTTGTATTTTCTTTGAGTTAACTAAGAACCCTTAATGATTAAGTACCTGTGAAAGAGTAAGATGAAGATTTTATCCCATTATATTTATATGTATATTTATATGATGCTAAAGACAAAATAGAAGTTTGTAAATGACAAATTCTCCAGAAGAAAGATTGATTTTATGGTGCAATTATATATTTTTCCAGAAAATGAAGTTTAGTATTACAGGTAAAAGAATAAAACTTATTTGAGAATCACAAAAAAGGAAAATTATGTGTGTAAGTGTAAACTTAATAGATTTCTTTTATGATTATAGATTAACTAAGTGGGTTATAATTAAAGATATAAAGTATTCATAGGTACAAATAGGTTTGTATATTTATTATCCTTATTAATGGGATATATGTTAAAGCCTTTTCTTTTGATATTTATATTTCAAACTTCAAATTCTGTTTTTACAGACACTTTTGAATCTGCAGGAAAATGTCATCAAGTAAGTAGCATTCAACAGCTGTTTATATTTGTGATTCAAAAAACAACTTTGTTTTGATTTATTAGCCAAAAAATTTAATGGTTTCAATGTTGATATCTAAGGAAAGTCAATTAAATTTAATGTAGTATTAGAGACGTGGGCAAGTGCAGTGAAAAGCAATTCTGATGAAATAGAATTATGAAATTTAAATTGAGCTGTATCATTGTTATTTTTTCCATTGTCCTTGTTTTCAAATATGTTTATGTTATTAGGTCTGTATTCTTTTTGCATTCATATGATTTTTATATATTAACATTAAGAATTAGGATGAACAACTATACAGACATCTGGATATACAAAGTATATTATACTCTTCTTTGACACATTTTATCAAACTAAACCATCTCTTTGTATAACTTGTAGCTGCATCAGTATATATTGACACTTTAGACTTTTAATTGAAATTAGTTTTTGTTCTGTACACAAGTGATCTTGTTTTTATTCTTCTTCTAGATATTATAAACTCTGCCCTTGTACTTAACAGAATTACGCCTTGCTCTGGTGCAGCTGGCTGTTGGAAAATCGAAGTTGGACAATGTGAGTCGAGCTGTACAGAAGATAAAAGAAGCTGCTTCTGAAGGAGCCCAGTTGGTTGCCCTGCCTGAGTGTTTCAACTGTCCATATGGCACACGTAATATGCATTATCTCTCTCTCTCTCTCTCTCTCTCTCTCTCTCTCTCTCTCTCTCTCTCTCTCTCTCTCTCTCTCTCTCTCTCTCTCTCTCTCTCTCTCTCTCTCTCTCTCTCTCTCTCTCTCTCTCTCTCTCTCTCTCTCAGTCTCACAGTCTCACAGTCTCATAGTCTCTCAGTCTCTCAGTCTCTCAGTCTCAGTCTCTCAGTCTCCTCAGTCTCAGTCTCTCAGTCTCTCTCTCTCTCTTCTCTCTCTCTCTCTCTCTCTCTCTCTCTCTCTCTCTCTCTCTCTCTCTCTCTCTCTCTCTCTCTCTCTCTCTCTCTCTCTCTCTCTCTCTCTCTCTCTCTCTCTCTCTCTCTCTCTCTCTCTCTCTCTCTCTGTCTCTCTCTCTGTCTCTCTCTCTCTCTCTCTGTGCTCTCTCTCTCTCTCTCTCTCTCTCTCTCTCTCTCTCTCTCTCTCTCTCTCTCTCTCTCTCTCTCTCTCTCTCTCTCTCTCTCTCTCTCTCTCTCTCTCTCTCTCTCTCTCTCTCTCTCTCTCTCTCCTCTCTCTCTCTCTCTCTCTCTCTCTCTCTCTCTCTCTCTCTCTCTCTCTCTCTCTCTCTCTCTCTCTCTCTCTCTCTCTCTCTCTCTCTCTCTCTCTCTCTCTCTCCTCTCTCTCTTCTCTCTCTCTCTCTCTCTCTCTCTCACTCTCTCTTTTGTCTCCATTTTTCTCAGTATTGTAATATCTTGTGTGCTTTTATTGTGTGTTTTTTTGCTCAACCCTGCATGTTGATGTTTTTTGACTACACTGTTGTAAATTACCTTTCCAGAATATTTTGCCGAATATGCAGAGCCAGTCCCAGGTGAAAGCACTGAGGCTATAAAGGAAGCAGCAAAGGAGAACGGGGTGTACGTCGTCGGAGGCTCAGTGCCAGAGTCAGAAGGGGGCAAAGTTTATAACACCTGCACTGTCTGGGGGCCGAAGGGAGACCTCCTAGCCAAGCATCGGAAAGTAGGTTCAGGAGGCTATATTCTTGTATAGTTATAGGTTATAAACAGCTACTCATTTAATAAAGAAAAATGTGAATAGGACACAAGGGAAGATGAAAAAGATATGGAATACAGCTCAAGAAGTTTGGGCTTTCTATAGACTTTGGCCTTTTAATTTTTCTTGCTTTTCTTGTATTGATGTTTCGTTGAACTTTATTTTTGTTAAAGGTAAAGTACGGTTTATTTTATTGCTTGACAGTATCTCACAGCCAGTATATGCATTGTACAATATATATATATATATATATATATATATTATATATATATATATATATATATATATATATATATATATATATATATATATATAATAATATATATTATATAAATATATATATATATATATATATATATGTATATATATATATATATATATATATATATACATATATATATATTATATATATATATATATATATATTGTATATATAACTATATATATAATTATTTATATATATAGATATATTATATATATATAATATATACATATGTAGTATACCCCCCGGGTATATTATATTATATATATATACATATATATATACACATACATATATATATATGTTATTTATAGCTTATGTATACATATGTGTGTGTATATATACTATATATATATATATATATATATATATTATATATATAATGTAC